CAACCGCCGAGTTTCACCAGCGGGAATGTTGAGAACCTCAGGAAAGCGAGACTCCAAGACACGACACAGCCGGGCGTTGAGGAGAAGGTCGGACGGATCAAGCCCAGGAACTTGCAAGCCACCGCCAGCAGCAGCAGCCATGTGAGGATCGTGCATCGGAATAATACCATTCCGACGGATGAGCCGCTTCTGTCGCAAGATCACCGCTCGCTGCTCAGCGATCACCGACTGAGCGTGCCGCAAGGGTTGAGTACCGGTGGAACTGTACAACCGCACCGACTCCTGCAGCTGTTCGAAGTGTTTGGAAGCGATGCCCTGAAGAGTAACGAACGCCGCATCCCTCTCAGAAATGGATCGAAGAAGGACGTCGATCTCGGCGTCCCGATCCAAGACTTGCTGATGGTGGAGCTGGGCCTGACTCAACGCAGCGTCGACCTTGCTCTGCTCAGCTGCGATGGCCCGAGCAAGTTTCGCCTCACTCAGAGCTACAGCCTTCCGCAGCGACGCGAGGAGATTAGCCGATTGCTTGGCAGCAGCCTCCAATCGAGACACTTGCTGTTGAGCCGACGAGAGCTGAGTTGACAAGTCGACATTACTGAGAGCAAGCGAGTCCAGTCGCCGAGTCAATGCGCGGTTCTCCTCCTGAACAGCTTGGTTGTCAGCTTGGAGATCGCCGATGATCTTGGGGTAATCAAGAGCGGCGTAATTGCCTTTCAGGATATCCAACAGTTCCCCCGCGGAAGCAGCATGCAAAATCGCTCGCCGCTGTACAGGATCGGAGGTTTCCACGGAACGAGTGAATCCGTAAGCCATGAGCCTCGCCAAGAAGGTCAATTCTTCTCGGCGATCATGTCCTTGCTCGTTAATTCTGGCCATGAGGGAGTCAAGACTCACTGGAGCAGCCGAGCTGGGCTGATTGGTGGCGCCCGAAGTGGTGTCGCCTGGCAAGCTCGGTGGACCAGGAAGGCGCACGCGAGAAGACCCCGCCGACTCCGCGTCAGACTCATGGGAAGTTGTCAGGTCGACCAGCCCAGCTTCATGCCGGTCGCTGACCCCACGAGTACCGACGGGTCGAGGAATCGACTCAGCTGGCACGCCTTCACCTCGACGAGGAGTTGGAGAAGAAGGATGGTTCCACGGGTTGTGCTAGAACAACATGCGAAGAGTAAGGAGCTGCCAAGTGAGTGATAGCGGAAGCAACGAACGTACCAAAGAAGGTGGTGGGGAGCCGCGAGACGTCATCAGCCGAGTACGGACCAACGGTGGCAGAACAAAATGAAGGATTAAGACACTCACCAGCTCGGCTCGTATCATAACCGGGGCAGTTGTGGTGTAGGGATTTCCAGATTCGACCATACGCCGACCTACTTTAGGTCAAGAATCGGCTCGGTCTGATAACCCAGAGCTTAGGAGCCAAGGATCACGGTAAGTACTCGGCGATCTGTCCGGATATGCTATCCGGATAGCCGCTGAGCTCAACGGCCGCCTGAAGAGTCGGTAGAGATCCGAAACGACTACATTTCACTAGATATTTGTATGAGAAGCATAGGATTAAATAGGAGGAGCCGAAAAGGCTCCCAGAAGATAACAGAGCAGAATTTTCCTAGTCCAAGACACGTGTACACTTTTCCGGTAAGTCCCTGCATAGGGCTGGATTATGCCTGCCGTCAATACTCGAGAGGCATAGCTTGTAGGGTATTGACTGGTAGCGCCAAGAGATTAGGTCGGTCCGGGTAGGACAAAGTCTCGCTACGCGCGAAAGAAAGTCCCGCATACTCAGCGGGCCGGTACGTCGGACAGCCCGGGTGCCGTAACACTTCTAGCTGAGCAGCCTCTGCGCTCGGTGACCTGTAAAAGCGCTCGCGCGCCGTCGTCCATCCTTTGGTGGAGGGCACAGGGTTGTGAACGAGCTCAGCCGAACCAAACTCGGCGGAGCCTCGGAAGTGATCTGACTTGGCTAGTCGGAACCGAGTGGAAGCGAGCCACTCGTCTGTCCCGGAAGGGCCGGACCGCGAGGGAACCACCCTCTGCGCAGGCCATACAACCGCCGACCTAACTCGGCGATTCGTTGTGGTTTGTGTAAGGAATCCACATCTGACGATATTTGTGTGTTCTACTACACCACAGTACTATCACATGCAGAGTGTAGGCACTCTCTATTGATCCTTATCCCCCCCCAACGACACTGTGCTGTTTCCGAGCGCAGATCGCCGTCGTAGGCGCCTTTCGTGCCCGTAGCAGCTTCCTCCTTCTCTGCATCATTTCTCAAATAAACCGTCGCTGTCAAAAGAAATAGGTGCTGCACCTATTTCAATTTGCCGCTTTAAAAAGAGGTAATCTCGGCACCTCGTTTTAGCGTTGCATATGCCACTTCGTGCTTCTCAGGTCTCATTTTCAGGAGAGGTCTGCCCCCAGTCCAGTTAGAAATGTGCACTTTAGATAGTGTTAGCACATGAATTTTGTTAATGATTTTGATTAGTTGATAGCCGATATTACACCCGGTTTGGCAAATCGGAGCACCTACTAGGGCGAAGCGAAGGCTGGGATAGTTTAAAAAAAACGAAAATGTATTGTTTTCTTACCATTTTTTAAAAAATGCAAAATTGTCGTGTACGAAACGCTAAGTTTAAAGCCCGGAAAGAGGTGAGAACGTATGGGATGGCGCATAACCACCGTACCAACTACGGAGTAGGTCGGCGCGATCGATCGCAGGTTCGTGTAGAATCTCCGATGCAGGACCAACTGAAACATACCGGAGTTTGTTGTACGTAGAAAGCATAGCATTTCTCACAACGACGACTCTACCTTGTAAAATGTCTCCATTGGCGAGGTGACCCCACGTCGTACAAACTATTTGGTACCCGGAATCATCAACAAGGAGTAGCTCTCGCTTATCAGTCGTCTTCCCCTTCCGCGTTACAATACGCTTCACCGAGCCCAACCGATGCACAATAGCAATAGTTGCTGTTACAGACCCGTCCTCAACTGCCGCAAGGTTGGCAATTGTAACGGTAGGTATTTGCGGGGCATCCAACAAAGGAGTTTGGGCCAGGTGAATATCCGCATTGGATCCGAAGGATATCTCAACGCAATTCTTCGCCGAAAGCGCAGGTTGTATCCGGCCGTCGGAGAAGAAGCAGCTGTTTCCAGGAACAATGACGTCACCATAACTTGTAATTGCCTCGTTGAACAGGGTAACCCGGTAAACGATCTTGGGTGAGTCGGCAACGAAAACTTCAAGCAATGTACCATTATTTTGCCAGGTTTTCTATTCACGCACGGGATTTTTTGCTATGAATCAGGAAGAGGATCTGACCCCGTAAGAAACAAATCAGGGAAAACACTCGCTAAAAGTTTAGCGTTATCCACCCATTCCACAAACGGTGGTCGACCACACTTGATAGGGATCACTGGCGCACTTAAAGCATCTTCGGTCTGGTTGCCCTCGATAGCGCTGGACATAGCATGTATTATTTCGTGAATAACTCTTGAATCACTTTGATCAATCTGAGGCAGAACAGCTGAAGCTCGTACAACAACCTCATCAGTCAAACCACCGTCATCGATTTCACATCCACGGCTTTCAGATGCAATCTCTTCGTCGATGCCGCTTACAACATCGGACTCGGATATGTGAACTTCACTTTCAACGGCAGACGCCATTTCTCGCAGCAACTCTCGACGCCTCGGAGTGTCTACCACTATAATTTCCTCTTCTCGAAAAACACTATTGATTCCACTTAAAACAGCCAACCACTTGAAGACTTTATCCACCTCGATCGTATATACTGCAGAGAATTTTTTCCGCTGAACTCGCCATAATTCACGAGGCCCGATGAATGTAACTCGAGGCATACCTGTTAAATCCACCTTCGGTAATTCACGAGCTAGCTCGAATGGAGCGTTCGTTGGGAAGCAAATGGCGTGACCTCTTGAATGTTTTCCTGACAGCGATATTTCGAGTCCAAAACATCTAGCGGGCGAAATACACCACAAAGAGGCGTCATTTAGAGAGGGCAGCCTTCCGCAACGACCATAATCTTGACCTGCAGCGACACTAAACTCATTTTCACGCGGGTTGGCATTACATCTTTTGCAAAGTGGTATTCTTTCGTGGTCTCGTACGAGCTCAGAAAGCAAATAGTAAATTTTATCTCTAAATAGTAAAGTTGGTCGCCGTATGCGTACTCCTACGGCGACATCAAGCTTTGGTTCTTGTACGGGTGAAAAAAAAACAGCATTCGACAATTTAAGCCTGCAAAAAACTCCATCTCGCCATATTGGCATTCCACATACTTCCCTGTTTGCGTGGGAACGGATACGCAGGCGACATGTACACATTCGTATGCATCCCTAGCTTTGCCACTCGATGGCGACACGTGAAAGAATTCATCTCGGCCTTTTCTCCACGTTGGGATATTCTTCACGTCAATCCAATTGCCAGTTTTCTGATAATCGGCCATTTGGAGCCTGTAATATCCTCGCCGGAAACACAAATACGTTCGCAATTCCTCTGCAACAGCAAACACACATCTTAGTACTTGTGTAGACATAGCATTTCTACTACTACTACTACTACTACAGCTTACGGCCTCCGTCGTCCAAGCTCAGCAGTACAGCGTGCTGCTGCTGCAGATGCCGCCGCATGTCAGGGCGCCAGGGTAAAGCTGAAGACCTCGACAAGCTGTGCTGCACCTGGTCTAGTCCGTTCCTTGTTCTCGCTCAAATCGAACAGCTACCCGGTAAACCGGACAGTTACCGGCTTCAGTCTATCGGCTTCAGCTACCGGCTTCAGTTACCGCGACGAATTAATCCGATTTGGCTTCCAGACTATCCCAGTAATATATTTATGCTTAAAAGTAATAGCACCACATTGAAATGCACATTCAATTCGGATCGGAGGTAGCTGCTATTTTTCAAGACAAAAATTGTGATATTCCTTAGTGCTAACATTAAAATGTACTTTGATTATTCCCCAAAACTGTCGAGCCCTGGTGACGATGAGCGGCGCGCACTCGGACGCCGCCATGATTGCTGAGGTGGAGGGCGCGCTACGCCTTCTACTGGACCCTGCGACGCCCCCAGGCGACAAGCAGCAGCTGGAGGAGCAGCTCACGCGCTTCAAGGAGACGCCCGCGGCCTGCCTGCCCGTGTTGTTCCAACTTCTATCCACCTCCCAGAACGAATACTCGCTCTGGTTCGCCGCTACGACGCTGGAGGAGTACGTAGCCAAAAAATGGGTCCATTTCCCGGCCTCGGAGCAGCTACGTATTCGCCAATTCGTGTGGGATCATCTCCTGGCGTCTTCCAGCTCCTCTGGGGGCGCTCAGGTCGCCTTCGTGCGTCGGAAGATGAGGAAAGTGGTGGCAGATATCGCCAAGATCCAGTGGCGAGGTGCCGAGCAGGGCGACGCCACATGGCCAGACTTTATGAGCCAAATAGAGGCTCTTATCGTCGAGGAGAGGACGAGGGAGAGCGGTCTGGAGCTGCTCAGTGTCGTCGTGGAAGAGTTTGGACGGGACGACGCCATGGTGATGGCTTCAATCAAGAAACAAGCCAAAGCCAGACTAACTGCTCAGCTACCGAGCATATTGGCGCTTCTGGCAAACGTTTTAAAGGGATGTAGCCATCGTCTCCAAGTCGGAGAAGCCCAAGTTATTGTGGCTCAAGACCGTGTGGTCAATGTGGCGTTAACCACATTAAACAACTTGATCACGTGGGCTCCAGTGGCCGAGCAAGTGAGCGACGCGTGGGTGAGTCTGCTGTTTGAGCTAGCCAGGAACTGGGAGAACGTATTCGCTCGAGGGTTTACGTCCCACACGTGTGCGTCCAGTACGACAGCGTTGCAGTGTCTGGCTGAGCTCATGAACAAGCGATTTGCACCTGCGAGAGTGGATGAGATCGTGGGCCACGTGATGTTCGGACTGTGTCCACTACTGCAGAAGACCGTGGAGGAGCAACTGATTGGTCGAGCGACGGAGCAGTATCTGGACAAGCTGAGTGAGTTCGTGGAGCTGTTTCTAACGCAGCATTTGAAGCGACTGGAGAATCCAAAGTACGGAGACATTCTACCGACTTTTTTGCAGTCGGTGCATGCCTTTACGACCAAACAGCCGCATGTGGAAGGCTTTTTGAACTGCTTGCGCGTGTGGGAGGTGTTTGTGTCGTACATAGAAGAGATTGAGCAGGATGAAGGTGCTGCTAACGAGCGAGTGAGAGCGGTGTTGACTGCGTACGAGACAGGTTTGGTTGCTGTCATGCTGCATCTTGTCGAGCGTGTACGGTACGAGTCGAATCGCAGCCAATTGGACGAATTGGACGACGGAGGCGACGCTGGAACGCAGGGCGATCATGAAGATGCAGACAATAGTGCGGCGTTCGACTTGGAGAGCACAGGCGGCGCATATGGTCAAGGCTCTCTTCAGGACTTGGCGCAGATTAGAACGGACGTTGCGAGCGGGAATGCCTCAGCTACAATGGTCGAGCTGTCGGAAAGGAAGCAGTTTGTGGTGGACTGTATCGCGTTGATTCGACGTATCGCAGCGCTGCCTTCGTGTGCGCCTCCGCTACTAAAAATGATGCTGCCGTGTGTGCAGAATTCAGTGGAGACGATGTTGTTCCACATCCACGAGATGCCTGTGATCGCGCAGCAGTCGGAGCAATGGGAGCAACAACGCTGTGTCGTCCGGGACTTGACCGTCAACTGCGCCATCTTGTCCGGTGTATGTGCCCATTATTACAGCATCAGCGACGACATGAAGCAGCAAATGGCGGGCTGGCACATCTTGCACTTGTTCATCAACATGTCGGAGTACATGGTGCAGCACAGACTGCACACTCGAGGCGACGCGTTCGCCGAGTTGCAGTGCGAAGCTCTCACCAGTATCAGGTTCTGTCTGAGCTGCATCCCCTTCGTCATCAAGAGTGGCGCTAGACAAGACGTGCTGAATGCCTCGGAGAGTGTTCTTCAAGTGCTTCTCCACACGCTGGACACGAGTATCGTGCCGTCGCCACTTGCGGTGATGCAGAACTCGATGCAACTTCTGGCCAACTTGGGCTTTGTATTGTCGTACGAGGACATGGTGCAGATCCCGTCCATGACGCAACTGGAAGCGCATATCCACCAGTTCAGTCTGCATCTACCGCTAGCGATCCAAGGAGACCTGTACACGTCCATGTCCAACTCGATCCTGAACTCGGCGATCTCCCTACGAGGCAACAGTGGCGTCTCCAATACCGTCCAGCCGTGGGAGAACGCGTACGGCTCCTTGTTGGTTCCTATCCGAGAATCTATCGATCAATCTGCTGTGGCGTTGCATCAAAACGAACAGCGTGTCTTGGAGCACGCGATGGTGGCTCAACTGAGACGAGACTGCTACTTGGTGCGCTGTCTCGCACGCTCCGTGGAGACCAAGCCGAAAGTGGCCAAAGACGCCTTCTTCTCTGTGTTCCAGGCTTCGTTCCCGTCACTCATGGCGCTGCTGACGACGTATTTCACTACAATCCGCAAAATGGCGACGTCCAACACGCCGCAGTCCAAGAATCAGATCAAGAGCGCGCTCAAAGTGGTGAATGAAATTGTGCGTCTGTACGCGCAACTGCTCAAATCCATCCGCAAGGAGATGCACAAGGAGACGGTGTCCGAGATCATGCGCACATTTGTCGACATCTTCAACGACTCGCAGCTTTCAGGCGTGTACGTGACTTTGTTGAAACGATGTGTTTTAACGTTAAAACGTATGTTTTTGTGGTGTTTTTTATTTTAGATTATACAACCAAGGAAACGCTGGCTTGATGGTACTCTGTGGCTTCTTGCAGTTGCTGAAAATTGTCGTTGAAGAGCCGACTTCGGTCTTCTCGTCGTTCCTACAGAACATTCTGGACTTGTGTTTTGGTCCGCTTAAAGAGGTACGTGAAGAGTTTGTGTGAATGTTATTTATTTTTCTAATTATTTTTCTTTAGGTGATTTTCTCTCATCCAGAAAGCGACTCGGTCATCTTGGGCTACTTCGTGGCTTTAGTGGAGCAATTATTGGAGAAACACTACCGCTTCTTTATCGTTTACTCGGGTCAGTTCACTCCTGACGGCGCACGTGAACGAGGATACGCGTCGGATCAAGCACACACGTATTTCTTGTCTATTTTCCAGAGTTTGGCAAGTGTTCTGAGTCGTGAAGGCTCCAATCTGGCTCCGCGTATCTGTAAACAAGTGCTGGGGTTGCTGGACCGGGTTGACAAGGCCCAGGGACTGTTTGCCTTTACAGGGTTCCAGAGCGAATTGCGTATGGGATTCCTCTCCACGTTGATGAACATTTTGACTCGAGGCGAGATGAATCTGTTGCAGGACGAAGTCATTCAGTTGCTTCACCGAGTTGCAGCTGTGGATTTTGCCTCTTTCTATCAAGTGTTTCTAAATGGCTACATCAAGGAGATCCTGACACAACCGCAGCTGGAGGCAGCGTCCAAGATGGAAGGCGAATGTCTGCAGTGGAGTGGACAAGTAGATTTGCCTACTTTCTCACAGGAAGTGGTGGCCTTTTTGAACGATCTGAAGGTGATCAAGGCACAAAATTAGCAACAAATACCGCTGGATGAATAGAATTCCAGCACCTTGCAACTTTTTCTTTTTTGGCTTGTGGATAACTGTACCGGTATTCGCAAAGGCACTCGTTATTTCGCCCGACTGAGGTAATATAGCATCGACTTTTATACGTGTACAGATAGTATAGTACGGTTAAATTGGAGTAAAGGTAGGACACTAGCGCGTTTGCACTCGTCTGCGGACTTATAGCCGTGGGCCCGCCCCTCTCTTCGCTTGCTGCGCTGCGCTCGGGGGGCGCCGCTGCGCGGCCTGCCCCACCCCGGCCTCTAAGTCCTCGACTCGGCAAGGCGCTGTGTCTGGGAATAGAAATTAATTCCGAGCGAGTGTTGCCAAGACCGTCGGCTAAGTCCATTTTCTGCATGTTGGGGAGTATAATTGTATAGTCGGTTAGCCAATCGGGCGAAATACTCACTGTCATTCGCAAAACGTCAAAATTCATGTTGCCACGTGGAAACTTGTTGGCAAGCCACTGGCACACAGAAGTTCACCCTGAACCGCTGCAACAAGCTCCGCATAATACTGTAGGCTACACAGAATGCCATTCTGAATGGTGCTTGGGGCTCTGGATCTGCTGCATCGGATCGTACACACACGTCGATCCGCTTTTGGTGATGATCACTAAAAGCAGATCACCGTGATCTGCTTATTGGGTGGTTGGATTGGCTGGTTGAACCGTGACGGTTCATCTTGAACCAAGCACCACTTTGTTAAATGGATCTGCTGCAACTTGGGACCTGTTATCCGTACAGTTCGCCAAAAATAGTTTTCGAACACAAAAAGTTGCATTTTTCCGATCGGGAATCGACGAGGCAAGGTATTGAGGTTTTGCAACCTTTTTGTACTGTTGAAAATGACAATACAATTTCTTTTAAAGATCTCAGAAAATCTCCATGGTGGCGGTGGAGTTGGGAATGAATAAAGTTCGACTTTCGCTACATGATACAGCACTCGCCTTCAGCTTCTTCCTCTGCTTCCTCGGCCTTGTCTTTTGCAGCAGCCTCGCGGCGTTTCTTGTGACTCGATGCCTCTTTACACGGACACGGGAGACTTGCAGCCACACCTGCGAAATAACAGCGACCGCAGTCGTGGCAATGCACGTCCCGATGGTCGCAACATCGCTTGCAGATCGCACAGTGGTTACGCGGGGTACGTTCACTGTCCACAAGCTTGTTCATGCACCACGAAAAGTCGTAACGACGTTTGCAGGGTACACAAGTGTAGCCCTGCACACAGTCCACGACTTTGATCGTGGCTTCGCAACATGGCACAGCCACAGGCTCCTGTAGCCGCACCACCATATCTCGGGTTTTAGATACGTTGTGCATGAAGCAATCGTCCTTAAACAAAGCGTCGATGTCTGCACCTGCCGCTTTGACCATCAAGAAAGGGTTCTTGCAGGACGTGCAGCGACACGAGGCGCCACACATTCCGCCTTCCTTAACACAGGCACAACGGCCATTCCTGCAGCCCCCAGTGCATCTGCAGGACACGACGCGAGGTGCCGTGGGAGCGGTAGAGCGCACTACATGATGATGATGACTGTGCTGCGGAGCTTGTGGCACTGGCATCTTGAACGTCGGCTCCGTCGCCCTCGCAGTCGTCGCAACCGGGGATCGAACACGTTGCGCATCGGGTTTGGGTGCAATATGCACCATTCTCTGATGGTTGGGCACGTACGGCGGCACGGCAGGGGCTGGAGGCATGATCGGTGGTGCAATCCCTTGATTCAGTACATTCCAGTAATTTGGCATAGCTGACGCAGGCGGAAACTGTGGCGCGAAGTTACTCGGTGCCGCGTAACCCGGTGTAACCATACCCTCTTGTTTGTCTCCACTATCCACTAGTTCGTCGAGTTCCATACTCATCGTCTCATCGCCATCAGCTTCTTGCTTCATGGCCAGCTCGAAGCCTGGAGATGAACTCAAATCATCCAACGCGGCGAGTTCCATGTCCGTATCGAAATCAGACTCGAGGAACGACATTAACTGGTCCGAATTAGCCAACAACGGGTCGTCTAGAGCAGCTACGTCGGATTCCGAGCGAGGCAGTTGCTGGGCATCTCGCATTAGCTGCAACGGCTCGTCGTCGATCTCGGCCATAATCGCCTCCAGTTCGTCCTGTACACCGATCGTTTGAGCCAGTTGCACCTTGTCCACAACGCCACGACATAGAGGACACGAACGGTTAAGACGGAACCACCGAAGGAAGCAGTTCGGGTGGAAAGTGTGGCCACATGACGAGATCTGAGCGTACGCATTGGCGCTCAGACACACTGAGCATTCGCGGTACGAGTGAGGCATACTGGCGGTTTGTTTACGGATAGCAGTGCAGGCCCGGGCGATCTCCGCTTCGAAGAGGTCTACGCCTCCGTTGGGCCGAGGGTTCTCGCTTGAGAAGTCGCGAGGGCGCTTGCCAGCAACAGTCATGTTGCTGACGGAGTTGCTTTTGCCGTACACCTGAGGTTGCACCTTATTTGTGTTGCTGTAGCCGCCTATGGCCTGCCGAGAGGTGGGCGCATGCTGACCGTTGCTCTCGTAGATGTAGCGAAGACTCGAGTCGGCACAGAAGACGCTGCCCGAGCTCTGCTGGCCCCAGCCGTCGGCTAGGACACGCTGCTGTTGCGTGCCGTCCATGATTCGTAGGCTATGTTGACTTGACTATGGTGTCCGTGTTGCTTGCACCACGTTTCTTTGCGGAATTCAACTTACACGACCGCCACGCTCAGAAAGAATTCTAAAATGAAGAGATGGCAACTCGACGCCTAAAAAGGAGCTGAGCTGCATAGTGGAAGCAAATGCAAAAATTTGCTGGTCTGCGCTGGAACTCTTACACCCATCAGGTATCGCATGTGGTCCAGAAATGATGTGACGAGCGCCTGGAAGTTTTCTCTTCACGGCGAACCTCCCGTCGGAGTGAGATATTTTCTATAAGAGGTAGATACGCAATCTTAATCGCGCTTGCGGAAAACAGACCGAATGTTTTAGCTGTGCTATCGATTCTACAAAGTTTATACAGGGTTATTTCATTTGAAAGCCCAGCTGGAAACTGGAGAAGTTGTACCACTCCTTCAACGTGGAATATCCGGCGCGTCACCTTTTTGTGTCTTTCCTTACTCAAACCAAGTAAAATGACAGGCACCCCTATCCCGCAGTTTCAGAAGGTCCGAAAGGCTTCATGCAACTGAGTGGCACGCAAGCCGACCGCAAGTTGCTGCAGATCGATTGTCGGCGCCGCGAGCATTGCTCGGGCCATCTGATCATCACAGTGTGACCAGGCTGTTACATGTAGCAGGAGGCGTGAGGCAGGCAGCAAGCCTTGCGCTTCCTTCCTTGATGGAGTTGAGGTTTTTTTGTTTAGGTAGGAGAAAGCCGCTTTTGCGATGCTGCGGCCAGAGTCCCGGAAATTAATATTCATGTACTTTGAGCAGTTATGGCCCTGTAATCTGATCTCAATGAGAACAAGCCATTCATTCATTGGATCTGAAAAGTTTAAAAGACGGTTCGCCTCGCCGACATTTTGAAAACCAATCGAAACTGACAGACAAAGCAAATCAACTTAAACCAAAAAGAAATGACTCATGCCAATGGAGCGATTGATTATGGGCTCAAATCCCTTTTTGTGAAGGCGAAATGGCTCTTTACCGGTATCACGCGTCGCGCCTCCGAACTACCGGTACTGTTGTGTAATAGTAGCCTACTGTTTTAATAAAAGTACCGGTACTGTAGTGGCATACAATACTGAGCAACGGAAATGAAAGAACTGAGTGAAAAAAATAGTACGACGGCTGTAGACCAAGCAGCGTGATCCACATGAACAACTTGTAAATCCCCAATGCTCGCCATGTTTTCACATGGGCAACCCACTCACGGTCTAAAAATCTGAGGTCCATTGAAGTAAAATCGAGAGAGACACTACGTGGTGGCGCAAAGATGGGCTGGGTTTCGACGGCACAATCGTCATCGCTTGGTCAACCACTTCCCTCCCCAGCATTATTCTCTCTTTGGCGCTCTCCTCGGTAAGAAGCTACGACTCAAAATGCGCGTCGACGTAGAGACCAATGGTGACGCCACGCCTTCTCACACGGCGTTTAGTCGCTTCTCGCACACAGCGCGCAAGTTCATCGACCGCTGCGAGCGTTCACTTCACCACACTAACCGAAGTCAGTACCTGCATGAGGAACACCACAGGAAGTGGTTCGTCACCAATAGCGCGCACGTCCGTGAGTGTCTCGCCGAGCTTCTGGGCACTTTTGTCATGATCTGCTTCGGTATGGGTGTCAACAACCAAGTGAGTCTGTCGGGGGAAGCCAATGGCACGTGGCTCAGCATCAACGTGGCGTGGGGGATCGGTATCCTTATGGCTGTCTACTGCTCCGAAGGAGTTAGTGGCGCACATTTGAACCCGTCCGTCACGCTCGCCCACTGTGTGTATGGCCGGTTACCGTGGTGGAAGATGCCCGGTTACTGTCTTTCGCAGTTAATCGGAGCCTTCGTTGGTGCTGCGGCAATTTATCTGCTCGACTACCAGAAAATTCAGAAAATAGATCCAGATCTGGAGACTACGCAGGGCAACTTTGCCACGTACCCAAGCGACGACATTAGCAACTACACGGCGTTCTACACGGAGACGCTGGCGACGGGAATGCTGCTATTGTGCATCTACGCGATCACGGATCAGAACAATCGCTCTCCGGGTACAGTGGGTACGCCGTTTGCCTTTGCGTTGATGATTATGGCTCTTGGCATGAGCTTCGGCATGAACACTGGCTACGCAATGAACCCTGCGCGTGACTTTGGTCCTCGGTTGTTGACGTACGTGGTGGGATACGGCTCGAAGGTTTGGACGGCGGATCACTATTACTTCTGGATCCCCATTGTCGGCCCACTGGTCGGTGGCGTGATTGGCGCTGGCTTGTACACGCTTCTGGTCCAGATTCAACACCCGCATGAGCATGAGTTGTAGTTTTTTACTCGTTTAAGAACAAGCACTCGGGGAAAATGAGTGTAGATGAAATTGTAGTTCCGGAAGGCACTATTACAGCGTAAGCATTACAGCTGAACTTTTTTACAAGCGGAACTATAAACAATGCAGCAAAACTTGTTGCCAATGAGCAAAAAGAAAGAAACCTTAGTGGCATTTTTTTTTAATTCATGTTGCATGAAATGTTAAGCAAATTGTTCAGTTAGTTGCGGGCCCCGTATGTAATAAATCCTTTGTCGTCTCTGCCCGGTGGTGTGGAGGTGAGACGGAACTCTGCTCGACCGGGAGCAGGTGACGAGCTACATCCAACAAATCCAACGTTTAGCCCATTTGTTTGCAAACAATCTGCGTGCATACTTACTAGGGCGACTCGGTCGGGATGCTGGCGTCTGACAGTCGGCGCTTCATGATGCCGCGCCAGCCACGACGCCGACGCTGCGTCTCTTGAAAGGCGATGTATCTCTCCACCACATACGCTTGACCAGCCTTAACACCCATAGCAATCACTGGAAGTAAAGGCAAGGGACCGGCAAACCACGGAGCCACCAGTCGACTGGACTGGGCGATGCAGGCCAAAATGGCAATCCCAACGCTGATCATGGACAGCGCATTCCACACCGAAAACCGACGCGTGAAGGTCGAAGATGACAGTGCCAGCGACACGATACCCATGATAGGAGACACGACAAGTGCAAGAGGAGGCACCAAGAGTACTGGCACCATGATAGAAGCACTGCAGTCGTGGTCCACTTCGCCGTCCGTGACACATTTCAAGTTGACCAGAATGGCAAATGTGATGGCCAGATCAACCATCAACAGCGTCAGAAGAGAGATACTCAACATCCACGAGAGATTCAGCGAACTGCTACGTGGCAAGTTGCGAGGCAGCAGATGGAAGCGCAGGAACGAGTTGAGCTTCTGACGAGGAGCTCCATCTGCGAGACGTTCTCGGAGTTCATCAGCACAAATTAACACGCCTGGAACAGGAAGCGAAGCGTCCACTGGCCCCAGCCATCCTTCGTAGAAAGTGTGCTTCGCCGCCTTGTTCTGTTGCTGCTTTTTCGTCGACCCCATCAGCACCAACACATCGTCAGCATTTCGACCAGAGTGGCCATTGCTACCCAAGCCATCACCTTGTGTACTGGAGGATCGAATACGTAAGGCCTCTTCTCGAATACTACTCACTTGGTTTTGCGACGCTGCGGTAGCCACGCCAGAGCCATTCGCACTGCGACTCCTGCCACGCGAAGAGGACCCGGAATTGTTCAGAGCTGTGCCCCATCCACCCATGTCGTACAGCATAGCATCGTTACCAAAGCTCCCGTCACTACGACGCGGTCCTGGATAATCCAGAGAATCTCCACGTCCATAGCCATACACATCGTTCGTGTGGAAGTAGTTGGTGTCTTTCGAATGGATGCTCCCGTAGCCATATCGATTACCAGATGGCGGGGGTTGATGAGTCTGCTGGAGGTTGTTGCTGCAGACGTTGTCACTCGACTCCTCGGCAGTTGTCAGGAAGAGCCCAAGCTTGAACTCCTCGCCCACATTCAGCTCGTCTTGCACGTAGAATCGACCCAGGTAGATCCGAAGACCTCCCAGTTTACTCGAGTTACTCCCCATCGCCGACAACGCACGCTGCTTCTCGAGATACACCGCCACAGGGATAAGAGACTCCACCAGCGAAGACTCGTCGCGTTGTACCACACGCAAGAGTTCGTTCAACTCGGCGACAAATTCAATCCACGGTTCGTCAATAAACGCCGTGAGTTCCGGACATTGCGGGATCGAGCGCACAAGCAGATCATTCGGGTCCAAGTAGAACGGCGAGAAGTAGGAGCCGCAGCCTGCAAACAGCAGCACTAGCGGTAGCGACGGCTTGCCGATCTTGGTCGTAGGCACACAAACAGACTGGGAACTCTCCTTGTACAACAGCTCCAGATAGACAAGAGAATAGTCAGCGCAGTAGCCCAGTTTGACCGCATTCAGCAGCCCACGTGCGCGAGGGCCTTTCATACACGCGTGGTTGTACTTAGCTACGATCCGCTTGAGCTCGTTCACGCGGATATGGCGTCGGAACAGCCTCACCTCGGACGTGAAGGGATAACACACTAGCGCCACCAGGAAGTACACGATCTTGCCCCAGCTCGAACAGGGGCCACGTTGCCACGCCAAGACGCGGTTGATGCGATCCGCCAGGTTCTTGAACTCCACGTCGTACAGCACTTTCTTCAACGATGGCGGCACGGTAGTACGAAGCTTCAGTGGCGAGTCTGGGTCGTTGTATCCGGCTAGATAAAGCCTCGCCATGTGCTCCGAGAGGTCACGCTCCATGAGCTTCGGGTAGCCCACGCGAGGCCAGTAGAAGCAGCGAAAGAGTGACGCGAACCAGCTGCGTTGTGAGTTGGCCACCGCCGACGAAAGTAAATGTTGTCGCTCCCCTTTGGCTCCTCGACTGTTGTACATACGCGTATAGGAAGGCTCTTTGCGGTTCCGACACGCGTAGCCCAGTAAGATGAAGAAGGCCACGATGCTCATCAACACAAGCGCAAAGCCAAACTCTCCGCCACATGCATCTAGCAGCTGCTGAATGGGCGAGACACAGTAGTGACCAGAGTAACCAGGATCGCAAGCCCAATCGCAGCGTGCACTGGTAGCGCCGACGCCGATGTAATGTGCGTTCGAGGGTGCGTTCGTGCACACCACACACTCGGCGCTGTTGCTCTCCGACTTGTACTTCCCCACTCGACACAGTCGACAGAATAGACCGCCTGAGCCTGGAGGACACGGGAAGCCAAAGAACGAGCCACTGGCTCCAGCTGGGACGACGGACTTTTCAGCAGTCGACGTCGGGGTGGGCGCTGGCAACTCTGGCGTGTCGCAACTGCTTAACTTGAACGACGTCGCACCTCCAGCCACTGTATAATTGCCGTCAAAGTCTCGTGTACAGCGACCAAAGGTACTCAGCTCGCATCCTGTGAGTTGTAAGCGACCACCTCCACCGCCACCTCCACAAAGACGCGGCACAACCTTCGTACTGGGTGCTTGCGCCTCGGCTTCTTGCTCAGCAGCATCATAACGTATCCCCCCGATAAGATACAAGGGATCTCGCCACTCCGTGTCACTCACAAAGCTCTCAATCGTGTCACTACACTCAGACCCACCGCCCACAGCGCTAATGTGTCCATGTCCACGCAGAAACTGAGCTACCGACAGTCCTAGAAAGCCTCCAGAGCCTCCGCCTGCACCATTCGCACCACCATCGCCATTGCAGTGGATCTCTCCATTAAGCACAAGACCGGACGCACCAAGCATAACGATACCGCCTCCATTGCCTCCGTCCACACAACCACCACCCGAGCCCAGCATACCAGTGCCAGAGCGCGTTCCATAAGGCAGACCACCAGACGCGTAGTTGCCGATATTGGTCACTACACTCGAGTCCGCTCCACGTCCGCCGTAGCCTGCGCCTCCGCCGATGGAGCCCACACACGACCCCATTCCAGGTCCTTGGTTGGCCAGTTCCCCCATTCCATCGGCTGACAAGATGGAGCCACGCGAGATCTCCACCGAGTCAGTCGCACACACTAACACAGCGCCGCCACGTACACGACCGACTTGCTGGGGAGGCAGCTCGTCATCTTCTTGAAGTTCATCCTCCAACTGCTGCTTCTTCTCTTCTGATTCGCCAACGTAAATCGACTCCCGCGCATGGAGAACGAGCGTAAAGTTGCTAATACTGGGCAACGTAGACGGGATGCTGGGTATCGTCGTAGATACGTGCGTGTCTTCCTTGCCGAGATCCGACTTTAGTGCACGCAGAGACAGCCATTGCTGCTCTTTACAGGGGCGAAACGTTGACTTGATGCTTGGCGCATTCAGCGCTTCAATGTGGCCGTTAACTGTGATCGAGTAAGCCGAGGAAATAGAGAGCGCACCCACGGCGATCACGCCACTTAGTAAAACATCGCCGCCGCTTACAAGCACCAGCATTTTACTGTTAAACAGCTTGGCAGTCGAAGGTGAGGACGCTGTCGTCACAGACGCAGCGATAATAGGATCGGGAGCGCTCGATATGTTGGCGTCGAGATGAATGCTCTGGCTTGTGATGATCTGTGCGCTCCACGTGAACTCCAGTGCAGTTGTTGCATCCATTAACACAGAGCGGGCTGAGAGCTGCAAGGCGCTAGTGGGCAGCATCATCTGTGCGGCACTCGAGACAACCATATCTCGCACGCGAATCTGCAATAGAGGAGGCTTGTTGCTGCTATGAACACTGATGGAATCTGGTAGCTGATGAGGCACCCCCACTAGCAACGCATCCAATAAGAACGAGCCATTAAGCACCTTCAAGTCTCCCTGCGATAGCTTCAAACACCCCGTCGCCACCACAGCACCGTCTGTGATAGTAATCGCATCAATACTCTTTGCCTCGTCATCTCCAACGTCCAAACTAGTCACAGCGCCGCCAATAACTGTGTCCATTTCATCAATATGCACAGCTCCTCCATCGTCGCTTTGAACACCGGTCGGCCACAGTCGTTGCATGTCGTTATCCACTAGAAGCTGCGCTTCATGCACTCCATCGGAGTGCTGCACCACCTGATAGTACGTACCGGCTGCCCCAGCCAACGCCGAGATCTGTACATGACGAAAACGTTTGTCCTTCGCCAGAAGCTCCTTCACTTGGTCTGCATCCAGCGTGCCGCCAGTCGTGTCGATCGCATTCGTGTCCAGTTGACTCGACATGAACGAAATCTGCACACGACCGCCGCCACCTGCCGGGAAACAGTGCGTAATACCTTTTGCTGCAGCGTTATCAGTGCAGAACGCGTCTCCTCCTTTCGCCTGCACCTTTCCGCTGACTGACAGCGCATTCGCTGAAATATACACCGAGCCTCCCGAGCCTCCACTGACTCCATCGCTCGCAGCTGCTCCGTTGGCTTGGATCGTCGCGCCAGACATCACGACGACGTCTTTCGACGCTTTGATCTGGATTCGGCCTCCTCCGTCCACTGATTTCATGTCTTCACTCGAGTTGTTGCCGGTAATTACCGCTCGACTGCCACTTCCGAGCAGAAACGGCGCAATTGTGGCACTGGGGTCTCCCGACGCCCCGGAGGACGCCGTCATGACTGCTGGATCGGACATGAGCGCTTTCTCCTTGGTCCACAAGTCGGCTAGTTGCCACCCAGCACTGCTCTGCTTCAACAGCGCTTCCTTCTCTTCAATAACCTCCACGTTAGCTGTCCATCCTCGTACATCAAAGAACCCTCGTGTTGTCTGCTGTGTGAGCATCGTGGCGTTCGCAATGAGTCTCTGACCGCCGCCTCCGCCATGACTTGCACCATACACGTCTGTGCCTGTAAAGAGCCCACGACCAGCACGGAATGCGCCGCTGTAGGAGGCCGCGATCTGCGCACCCACTTCTAGATGCACAAACGAAGCTTCTATACTTAACGATGACGCCTTCAACGTGGCTTTAGCGCCCAGTAGAACCATCTGACCCGAGCCAATGTGAAGCAAACAGTCGTCTCCTTGCACTGCGACCATCACTCCTGGAGCAAAGTGAAGGTCTCCTGGCACGTCCCAATGACATGTGAAACCTGCAACAGCAGACACGCCCACATCTCCATTGGAATATCCTGTGAAAGATGATGCCGAGATGGCAGCGTTAAGGAGAGATCCTGAGCCAGTGGATACGGGACTTTCATTGGCACTGCGAGGTCCGCAGACGAAAGATATTGATTCGGAGAATGTGCATGAGGACGTGCTGGAGTTCCACGCGCAGTGTTGCAGGAAATCGGCGCAGTGTGGCCTGTGCTCGTCTAGACGCTTCAATGTGTCCGAATTGCCTTCAACTGAGGCTGCGGAGGCGGCGAGAGAGAGCAGAGAAAGCGAGAGCAACAGACACATAAAGTCGCGGTGCCTCCGTTGACGGACAGAGAGCGACGCCATGCTGCCAGCCACAGACATACACGGAACCGCCGCACGAGCCTCGCCCACTAGTGTCGGGATTTTTATGTGAGCCTGAAGTGAGAGCGCCACCTCTTCCACCTCAAATATCAATTATCAGAGTTGATTTAGTAAGGAGAGCACTGTAAATACTGAAGACTTTTTGAACGGATAGAAAAGCGATACAGAGGTCGAGTAACCTCTATAACGCGATACCTGTCAACCTGATTTCTATCAAGACTTGACATGTGAAAAGCCGCAATGTGGTTTTGTGGCAGAACCTCGATAGAGTGACATAAATCGTGGGTGGCAAATTTGCATTCGAGAAATTAGCACAGGAAGCCACCAAGAAATGTCGTACTTGTTGCCACACCTAGAGAGTGGCTGGGCGGTGGACCAATCCATCCTGAACGAGGGCGACCGCGTGGTGGTGATTCGCTTCGGCCATGACCACGATCCGACGTGCATGCAGATGGACGAGGTGCTTTGTGGCATCGCTGAGGACGTCAAGAACTTTGCCGCCATATACGTCGTGGACATCACCGAGGTGCCTGATTTTAACACCATGTACGAGCTGTACGACCCGTGCACCGTCATGTTTTTCTTCCGCAACAAACACATCATGATCGACTTGGGCACAGGCAACAACAACAAGATCAACTGGGCGTTCAACAACAAAGGCGAGATGATCGACATCATTGAGACTGTCTACCGAGGCGCACGCAAAGGTCGAGGTCTGGTCATTTCGCCTAAAGATTACTCCACCAAGTACAGATACTAGACTTACAGCACAGAATCCTACAATACTCCATTTTAACGTGACATTTGCTGGGTTGTTGCCTATTTTCACCTTTTGCTATTTTCTTTTCTGCGGTTGATGGCTGGAAGGACGGACCAGACTACGAATTGCGGCATTGTGGGAGTGACGCAGCTAGCCACGCACTTGGCGTCGTGACAAGATGTCGAAAAAGTACTGACATTCCAGGACGCCGTCCTCAGCGAGGTCGGTGCAGTGGACGGCGTTGCGTACACGATCGTGGCCGAACTTGGCTCGAATCGTCTGGGGTTTGAGTTCTTTAGCCATCTCGACGTCCCATGGACCCGCGCTAGCACGAAACTGCGCCACGACGTCGTTTGTGTGTTGCCCGACCAGCTCCATAGCTAGACACGCACCAGTGGTAAAGTGGTCCACAGACTCGTTAAAGTGCGGCACGACACCTTCATAGACCTCGAGGAACTCTGCTGCGGTAGTGCGATCGAGGACGAAGAGCTCCATGGCGGTGATACGGACACCGTCGTCGCACTGGATGGCAGACACCACCTCTCCAAGTCGCCCTTCTTTGATCACATGGGGGAGCACAACACAGCAAGTGCAGCTCTCGAACGTGGCAGTGGGGACGTGAGGTGTCTCGAAGTAGAAGCTACGTAGCTGTTGTGCTTCTAGAACGGACGACGCACTCTCTAACTCGCCCGGTTCGGCATCAAAGCGTGAAGATAAGTTGCTCACTACCTGCTTTAGTGTCTCGAGGCAGTTCTCTTGTACGAGCTCCATCGCTACAACAGGAGAACCTGCCAGTTGATTGACTTGCAACTCAAAGTCGTCAGTGCCGCGTTGCAACTCGAGCAGCTTCTCCGCATGTGGACGTGTCACTTGCATCATCTTGACCGCTGAGAAAGCGAATTGTTGGTGCGACAGGAAGTCCAACACGGCGCCGACATGGTCGACCATGCGTGCTTTGACCACCAAAATGGACTTCTGCTGCTGCCGTCCGAGTTTCTCGGCCGTGAACGGGTCCAGATAGTCCTGTAGCTCGAAATGGCGGCCGTAGATGAGCACTTTGGCCCCTAGGAAAAAGTCTTTGGCCGAGAGTGTGGATGGACATTCACTTTTCTTAAGGAACAGGCGACTGGTCTTGGTGTCGAAGATCTCGACGTTGTGCGTGTCCACGAAGTACCGCACGTTGTATTGGCGATTCAGTCTGTAGCAGTAATCAAATAATGCGTTAATCATCACTGTACTGAGCCAGCACCCATCGATAATGCGACTGCAAAGACGCACTGGGCATGCGTGTCGAACCAGCGCGCTTTGAACGAGTAGATGGTCTCACGGATCGCCTGCATGCTACTGCACTGCTTTAGTGTGGGTTTGATGCTCAGCAGCGAGGCGACGGGTTGGATGCATGGCAATTTTCAAGTGCAATCACGTCGCAGATGATCTTTTCAGCGAATCAACTGGCAACTTGCTTCGTGTAAATGAATTTACAGGAAAGAGAAAGCAAATTTGCAGAGCAAAAGCGCACAAAATAGTCCATCATTCATCGACTATTTTAGTCCATCTCAGTGGTTTGGATTTACTCACTTCAGTAGTTCATGTATAAATCGCTATCGTACGGCCTCACGGTCATTTTTTCGACGTCGCTATTCACTTTCTAAGTGGATGTGCTCGAGTGCCTCATCAAGAAGTAGTTTGTCCAGTTTCATCGCAATCTGCTCGATATCCTCCTCGTTTGACTTGAGGACGATGCTGATGAATTGTTCAGCCACGCCCAAACGCGAGGCTGACACACCAAAATGCATCGGTACAACTCGAGAACATGTCTCTACAGTCGTGCACGAATTCATTTCGGCAGAATGCACTTTACACCACCCAGTTTCGTCGGTATACATCCCACTGAAGATTCCTTCGCCTTCAGTAAGTGCCCGCCATACCAGCACTGTCCGATCTTTCTCTTCGAAACGTCGAATTGCAAAGTGAACCACCGAGCTTCCTCGTAAGCGACATCTCACTCCCAGGATATTCTCCGGGTCTTGTGCATCACGATAGAACCGTCGATCTTCTTGTCGATGGCCCAGGAGAACGAGTCGCCATAGATAGTGACACGTTTGCCCATATTCAAACGGCATTATCTGTCTGCCATAGGACTGGAAAAACTCGGTTCCATTTTGCATCTCTCGTGTCGTCTTGACAATGGACGACTGAGGAGTCCACTGCGTAGAGAAGGAAAAGACGCTGGCAGTTCGCTTGTAAACGTCGACCAACTCCGTGATATATTGCTGGATCAGCAGAGATTCCGAGTGTTTTAAGTAGGTTATGGATTCCTCTCCGTCGAACTGCCGTTGTATTCGTTCCTGCATATCACGGATCAGACCAGCTTGCTTACGAACTTCCTCTCGTAACAAGCGGCGCTCGTCTGTAAGTGCTTGCAGCAGTTTTGTCTCTTGAACCTTTGGGGCCGACGAGCTGATGTTCTTGTGTGTCGTACGCTTGAGGATATCAACTTGCTCTGAAAGCTTCTGAATCTCCAAGGTCAACCCCTCTCGCTCACAATTCCGGCGCAGATTTGCCTTGCGGCGACGGATCCGGTCCCTCAGTCTTCGTTTTTCTTTCTGCGCCAAATCTTCAGCGGCTTCTTGCTTACATTTTGCTCGTGGCAGTGCTGCAGCGCGGCTTTGGCTTTGATCCCCTGTGGGAGTGATTTTGCTGAGCGGCAAAGCACCCGACATCAATCCTGACGCCGCGTTGATCACCGTGTATTTTAATACAGCGGAGCCTCCGTCTTGCGTCTTGCTGGCGGTGGAGGCAGCAAGTTGCTACTCGTGCGGAAAAATAAGAAGTGGTAATGTATCCTATAGTTGCAGCAGATGATTAGACACACGCGAAGATTACGACGCTTTAACTTGAGGGCGTGCCATCATCAAAAACTCCATTTTGTAAAGGCTCGTGCTTACATCCTAGATTTGACAATGACACTCAGTTTGCAAGTTGCAGATGAAAAAATAAACAGGCTGATGACATTTTTTCTAACCCCCCGCGCAAGACATTGTATTGTGCTTGGAATATCCATCTTATTTTAATAGACTAGTGGTCGGAGCGTAAAACCACGCGTAAAAATGAGATGGGAAGAGGCAAGCATCTACTGTATTTGAGACTTATGAGCCTAAGTACGAATCGCGGTTTAAGCACTCTAAACGAAAGCAAGGTGCTCCTCTATCTTTTGAGCCCTTATAAGCTGCGGAATGCTTAAAACTGAAGAAGTTGTGGTCGCTCAAAAATATTATCTTCATTTATGGGCCCTCGAAATGACGATACATTTTGGAGTGTTGTGAGCTCTATATTTTTCTCAATTTTAGAGGTTTAAGTGTTATTTAAAATCCCTTGTTAAGGGGGAGGTCGGAGTACAAAAAGAGCAAAAAATTAAAGGCACTCGTTATTTAGCCAGACTGGGTAACAAGAGACAGTACAATTACACCAGAATACAACCGATTAGCATGCCCGAATATGCCAGACTCAGGAAGAGCCGGACGTGTCATCAGTTGACGTGTCTTCGGAGTATACGTATAACCGGATGTCAGTGTGTTGGCTTTGAAACTGAACCCCGCAAGACGGTCAGCATCTAACTCTCAAGACAAAGTGCAGGGGGAATAACCTGGAGGTAGTCAACGCATCAAACACACTAACAAAAGACCAAATCATTGAAAAACTAGTTGCATTAAATGCACATGCACAGGTACCGATAGCGCAAATACTGTAGCTCCTTCCGACTAAGCAGATATAGGTTTTCAGCACCGGCAAATATCTCAAAAGCTAACAGCATATACATGCCACAATTGTAGCTATCAACCTGCACTCCAAGCTCGCTCGTGTATGGTCTGTCGCCTAACGCAGACTTGCCGACGAGTTCGAGTGCTTCAGCCTATGTGCAATTACACAGCAGTAGATATTAGTATTTCCATTGCGGGGCCTGACTGTATGCAACTGCGTACCTGCACCGATAGTAAAGGAATAGATTTGATCTTGGATTGTGTATCAGGATCAAGATCAACACAAAACCATCGGGGCATTTGGAGTTCGAAATCGATGGTATCAATCCAAACGATAGCTTTTTCCACATATTGGATGGTTTTCATCGCTTTGTGCCACTTCTTCATGACACCCAGCGTCTCGGTGGAGTAGGTACCTACTCCAACAATTTCCACGACAATGTCCTTCTCACCTAGATTTTGATCACTTGATTCCTTGTGTGCCTTCTGAAGAGCTAGCACTTTGGCACTGCATCTATCAAGGATATCCTTTCGGAAAATTCGGGGGATGGACTCAGCAGAGACGATCTTTTTTGAGGCGGGAAGTCTTGCTACCTTGTGGGCAACTGGAGCTCGGGGATTTTTTGTGAAATCGAACAGCTTAAATCTGGACACAATTGCGGCAGATGTCTCGTATGTTGACTCAATGCGTACGGCGTCTTGTATGGTTGCTAAACTCAGATTATCCGAGTACAAATTTGAATCATCTTGCACCATCAAAACATTTTTGCGGCGAGCTGCTTTCTTGGATTTTGCCCTTTGCTTTGGGCGACCTCGGGACCTTGGAGGGCTCGCCACATCAAATGTATCATTTCCGACCGGTTGCAGAGTCGCATGAGAAGCTGAAGTCTCCACACCAGTCTGACAAATAAGCTCGGCCGACACCGAACCAGACTCTCCAGAATGGATGCCAGACTCTTCAGACTGGATGCCAGACTCAACAGACTGGGTGCCAGACTCGCCAGACTGGGTGCCAGACTCGCCAGACTGGGTGCCAGACTCGCCAGACTGGGTGCCAGACTCGCCAGACTGAGGTGTAATCTGCGTAGAAGGCTGTGATAATTCAGGGTCTTCCACTTCAACCTCGCCCACGGTATCTGAGTCGAAGACATCGTCGCGCGTACCTTCACTGATTGTCGGCATCTTAATCGATGAAGAAAAATCTCCAACCTTGAAACGGTGGGCGACGGCCTTTAAATAAGTCATTGCTTCACGATATTGGACCTTCAGAATACTGGTCTTCTTTGCTCCAGCCTTTCGAAGCTCATTCACCGTCCGTAAGGCACTGTCATCGAGAGTAATCCGGCTGGAAGGATGACTCTTGAATGCATACTCGTTCAGTGAGTGATTGTGCTCGAGCCGGCACTTCGTCACTTTGAGCACAAACGTGTGTTCAGCTTTGTTAATCTCTTGAACGCATACATTCAGCTGAAATAATAGTAACAAAGTTAATGCAAACAGACACGGTTAGTGGCTGAGCTTACACCGGTGATGCACGATTCATCCCAACTGAGCCCGATTATGCCAGATTGGGTTTATTTCGCTACAAACCAAAACTATAGTAATCGCATACCTGTGCTGAGCATCCTTGGGCCCGTGTCTCCTGACGCGGCCGCTTGCTTGTGGCTTGCGATCGGTATGTGCCGTGGTGTGTACACACGTACGTCTTCGCGTACTGATCCCACTCGGCCGGGATTTTAGTCGCCGCGGAGCCCTGAGCATCTATCCTAGCATTCCGTACAGCCACTGAAGTGTTTGTTCTCACTCGAAATATCTAGCAGACAAACAAAACGTGATGAGACGGTATAGACAAACGCAACAGATAACTTAATAATGTACCTGGAGTGACTGCGCTTGGTACAGCGCTAGATCCGAACTCGAAGTCCTTCCACGACTGAAATTGTTCTCTTGTGGTGCGAGGCGAAGATAGAAATCTGACCCGGTTTTTCAGTTGCGCTACTGGTGACCGTTTCCGCCTCAGCAGAAGTCGGGCTCGACACTGGCTGCCAGTCACTCACGGAGCCG